GCCCTTTCCCCCTTCTCATCCTCCATTCTCGCAACTGTTTTCCCTCTCTCTCTCTCCCGCTCTGATCGGTTGCACACCCATTTCCCTTTCTTGATCATCTGAATCTTGGACCCGTCTTGCGCTACTTCTCGCGCCCTTTTTCTTTTCGCCTTCCGAACGTGAATCGGAAGCCCGGTCGATCCTTCGATCACTCTCGCCCACCAATCAGACGCGTGGTACGATAGGATCTGCCTATTGCGTGACGAATCTGATTGGCGAAGCTCAGAGTCCCGAAGGATCAACATGGCTTCCGTAGCGCGCTCCTCGCCAAGTATTCTCCTCCTGCTTCTTTTCTTACACTTCGATTTTCCCCCTGCCTTCTCTCCCTTGCCCCCCTTCTCACCACTATATATTCCGCAAACGCGCCCGCAAAGCTCTCTTACATTCTCGACTCCCAAGCCAGCTTCCGGGAAGCAGTGGCTAGGCAGAGTGTTTTGTGCGAGTCGGAAAGTTCTGTCGGGCTGACGATAGGCTGGCCGGTTGCACGCTTAATCGCCACGACGGACTGTGGGATCTGGGCGAACCGCGTCGAGTTTACGTCGGCGGGGTGACGATCACAGTGGTGGGAGTTAGCACGTGACGGCCGGGATCGTCGGTGCGGGTACGAGGATCGACGATTGGAGTTGAGTGGGTAGTTGGCTCGGGGCCATATTGGAATTCACGACGAATGCGCCTTTGTTGTTGCGGATCTTTATCTCTGGCGTGGGTGTATGGCGGCAACGCCGAACTTCCTCTTTTCGGATCTTGTCATCTTTTATCTCGACCTCCCTCCCTCGTCTCCCTCTCTCTCCTCTATCTTTGAATGACGATGTGTCAGGATGCTCGTCGCTCTCATGAATGAGAATGAATTTGTGTGCTCTCCGGTGTGAAGGAACCTCTTTCGGAACTCTTCCAATAGTTTCCTGGGTAATCCCCAGATGTCGAGGAATTTATTATCTTGTCTTGTGAACGGGGGATGCGTGTGTACAATTCCCTCAGTTGATTTCTGGTCTGTGCACCCCTGTCATTGTCGCACCTACCACAGTGAATGTATGTGTGGAGATGCTTGCCTTTTTGTGTTGATTAGACGCAGCGCTCGACGGGATTTTGTTCGAGAATGCAAGAGTGTTTAGATCTGTAGTTCTGAATGCACTGCGCATGCTATCTGCTTTATGCTGCACGACATCTGCCACCGATCCACAGGGCAGCCTCGAGAAATAGGGCGCCTGGGATCAACGCCTCGATGACTTACTAAACCTGAGTCGTGGGGCGGTCCCTCAGTTACATGGATGATCAAGCTGATGAGTGTTTTCTCTCTCTCTCTCGTGTCGAAAAGAATTGATAGGTGGTTGTGCGAGTGTTTTTCTTTGATGACGTCTCGGGATCTTTGCAATTGATTGACATGTCGACTGACAAACGCCCTTCGATCGGGCGTAAGCCTCCCGTATCTCCCGTGTCAACGCGACCTTTTCCTTACGACGAGGAAAGGACACGTGTATGCGAGTGGGACGTACGAGAAGTTGTCGCACGGATCGGCAGACGATATTACTTCCCTCCGGAAAATCGTTGAACGAACACAAAGAAAGATCCACACGACTGAGGCCCTCCACGTCGGACTCAGAACTCACGGGTGAACGACGTCGGGACTTGATACGAAGACGAGACACGCGAAGCGTGTTGCTCTAAACGAAGGGCTGTAGCACGGTGGGAAGTCCGACAATACTTTTTGGATTGAATTTTTATTCGCACCGAAGTCTCGCACACATTTTGCGACGTGCGAAAAACAGTCGACTTACTTTATCGGACCAACACGGGGGATTTCAGTTCCGTCTGTGTCCCCACACTCAATTTCCAAAAATCCTTGGCACACCCCATCTTGCTGTTTTTCTGGTTTTTCTGGGCCCCCTTTCCGCATCTCTAGCACTCTGAACGAAAGACAGCACAGGGCGTGATGTTAGCACGTCACATATGTCGGGCCCTCCGACATCGGGCCATTGATTGTCTTGGATCAACGACACGGACTGGACCGTCGTTCACTCAGGTTGGCCTATGGGGTACATACTATCCGACAGGTCAGAACATCAGACTGGTGTGGTAAATTGACACACCGCGGAGGGCCTGAATGTCGGGCCCTCCGACACCGGGCCAAGGGGCCTGCTGGGCCCCGATTGTTTTCCCCAGTGACTCCCAGCAGGGAGTGCCCGTCTCTATGCCCCAGGGGGGAAAAAACTCTGAAAGGACCCTGCACACGATTTTGCGTTGGGTGGCCCGCGGGTTGGACCAGGAGAACTTCCCGGCCAGGCGCCACGGGCGGGTCACCTTCAGCGATGGCAAACATGATGACGGAACACGGGCAATGATAATGGATAGCGTGGTGAGGGACACCACAGCCACGATGAGGATACACGGGGGCAACAATGATGGACTGCACGACAACGGCTACGACCGCGGGCGGGCGCGCGGGAGGGTGGCTACACGAGACGGGCGGGATGCCTTTCCGGACTTGGTGTGTGACTGACCTGCGGGTACATGTTTTTTTTGCCTACCCCTCCCCTCAATCGGGGTTTGGATTCGAATTTTGTGCCTGCGGTTCGAATTCAAACTTTGCACTGAGGGGAGGGGAGGAGAATAGGCAAAAAAAACATGTACCCGCAGGACCCTGCGCATGATTTTGCGTTGGGTGGCCCGCAGGTTGGACCAGGAGGACTTCCCAGCCAGGCGCCATGGGCGGGTCACCTTCAGCGATGGCAAACATGATGACGGAGCACGGGCAACGATGATGGATAGCGTGGTTAGGGACACCACAGCCACGATGAGGATACACGGGGGCAACAACGATGGACTGCACGACAACGGCTACGACCGCGGGCGGGCGCGCGGGAGGGTGGCTACACGAGACGGGCGGGATGCCTTTCCGGACTCGGTGTGTGACTGACCTGCGGGTACATGTTTTTTTTGCCTATTCTCCTCCCCTCCCCTCAGTGCAAAGTTCGAATTCGAACCGCAAATCCAAACCCCGATCGAGGGGAGGGGAGGAGAATAGGCAAAAAAAACATGTACCCGCAGGTCAGTCACACACCAAGTCCGAAAAGGCAGAGGGCCTGAGCTGAAAAAGGGCAAAAACAAAATCCAATATGTTTGCTTTTCTATGCATTCCAAACTGCTGCTGTGCTTTTCAATTTCTTTTCCCCTCCACCCCTCTGTTAAATTTAGTATTTTTCTTTTCAATTTCTTTTGCGGTCCACCCCTCTGTTAAATGGAATAATATTTTAGAATTTTTCTTTTCAATTTCTTTTGCCGTCCACCCCTTCCGTCCACCCCTCTGTTGAATTCAGTATTTTTCTTTTCAATTTCTTTTGCCWTCCACTCCTCTGTTAAATGGAATAATATTTTAGAATTTTTCTTTTCACATTCTTTTGCCGTTCACCCCTCCCGTCCACCCCTGTTAAATTTAGTATTTTTCTTTTCAATTTCTTTTGCCGTGAATGGAATAATATTTTTCTTCTCTTTCTGCGGTCCCAGTCTTCCTGCTTGTTCTATTGTCCGCTCCTGAGCTGAAAAAAGGCAAAAACAAAATCCAATATGTTTGCTTTTCTATGCATTCCTAACTGCTGCTGTGCTTTTCAATTTCTTTTGCCATCCACCCCTCAGCTAAATTTAGTATTTTTTCTTTTCAATTTCTTTTGCCGTCCACCCCTCTGTTAAATGGAATAATATTTTAGTATTTTTCTTTCCAATTTCTTTTGCCGTCCGGTATTTTTCTTTCCAATTTCTTTTGCCGTCCTTTGAATGGTGAAATTGTTCTGCAGAAGTCATTGTCAAAATTGAATGGTGAAAATATTAGGCTACCAGAGTGGCCCGGGACCACTTGCCCGGCCGGGCCAAAAACAAATTAAAAAAATTGGCCCCGCCGGGCAAGTGGTCCCACTCTGGCAGCCTTGTATTTTCCCCATTTAATTTTGGCTGGCTGGCAAAGACGTGCAGCACTGATTTCTAGTCACTGTGTGTCCACCGAAAATGCACGAAAAAAAAGGGGGGAAGTACGTTTATGTCACATGGGAGTTCGTAATGGGCAGAAAAAAACAGGCATCGGCGTCTGTGTCAGGGCCTGAGTTCGAAAAGGCGTTCATAAGGGCCTCGCCACACCACTATCAAAACACGAATTTTCCATAGTTTCGCATCGCCACACAGCCTATCGAGAAATGCAGCTTCGAAAATTTTTGATAGGTGTCAGACATGGGAATTCGATACCCCTATCGAACGAAATGTGCACGTCCGCCTGCAATCGCCTTCTCTTCGATAGCCCACATTCCGGACCATCGAAAAACCACCCACACACCCGCTAGATGACAGGACCCGCACACAGACGACAGACAGTCGAAAGCGGACCCGGAACGGAAAACATTCGATACCCCACCGATTCGACAGTGCTGTGTGGCAAAAAGGGGGGTTTCTATCGAAGTCCGGACTATCGAATTTTTCTGACACATGGCGAGCCCCTATCGAATTTTTCTGACACATGGCGAGCCCCTAACTCAGGTCGGCCGTGGTGTCAGGGCGGAGGTTTCATTAAGGCGATTGTGTTTCTTTTCTTTTTCTTTTCTTTTTCTTTTCTTTTTCTTTTTTTTCCGTTGGTGGCGCCGCGCCGCGCTGTGCCGCGGCTGGAAAAAAAAACAAAAAAAACAAAAAAAAACATGGTCGGGCCACGGCTGGGGTTTGGCCCATACGTCTGGGCCATGGCCAATCTGGGGTGTGGCCGAGACATCTCGGCCATGGCCAATCTGGGGTGTGGCCGTGACATCTCGGCCGTGGCCAATCTGGGTTGTGGCCGAGACATCTCGGCCGTGGCCCGACCATGGGGTGTGGCCGAGACATTTCGGCCGTGGCCAATCTGGGGTGTGGTCGAGACATCTCGTCCGTGGCCCGACCATGGGGACGATACATTCCCAGCCGCAGCACGGTGCCACCTAAAATGCAAAAAAAAAAATAATAAATAGAGTGGCAGGGACTACCGTCATGATTCTTTCCCACCGGGCTGGGCCAGCTGGCAATTACGAGGATGGCCTCGTTACATGTTACACAAGTTCAAGCTTGCTAAACACAGTTCAATCCAGAATACAGAAGTTTAAATTTGCTAAACACAAGAAAGTAGACGACAGACGGGTGGCCCTATCTCAGTTGGTACACCCATGAACTGTTGATGTACAGAACCGAATTCAAATCCAGACGCCACGAGATGACCAGAATAAAATCATTCTAAAATCATTCTGGATTACATGGGCCCGGTCAGTTCAACAATGATATCTCAAGGCCGTCACCCTTTGAAAAAAAAACAAACAAACAAAGAAAGCAGTTGACATTGCACAGCAGTGATTTACAAGACGAGCTGTTGGCCCAGTCAGTGCAACAACGATAACAATCGACAAGCCTAGTAGACAAACCAATACTCCTAGACACAGCCCGACTGGCATAACATATACATTCCACAAACGCACCAACAGGCAGATCAACAGGAGGACCAACTAGTAACACGTCAATAGGCAGACCAATAAAACATGCACAGAGAGACAGAAAGATGGCCAGACAAAACAAGATGCGAGCACACACAGGTTCACAGACATCGAGAGAAATATACACACATACACAAACAGACAGAACAATAGCCAAAGGGCCTCGTTCCACTACTCACCAAAGTGCAAAATGAGAATGAATCTTCCACTGGCATTTATTTCGTCTTTTGTGCATGTGGTGAGCACACTGAGTAGAGGAGCGAGCCTCAGCGAGTCCCAAAGGCACACAGTACACTAGAGGAGGCAGAGGAAAAGACGTACAGTTGGACAGATGAGATATAGACAATGGACGGCCGGACAACTGGATAGATACCAACGTACCGAAACCAGCTGCACCAGGAGCAGAAAAGTGTAATACCAACTTTCAGAGACAGGCAGTCAGCCAGACAGGAAGATGCGCAGGCAGAAAGTAAGACAGAAGGAAAGAAACGGGAGAAGGCAGACACCGACGGGCATAAGCTGAAAGACACAAAGAGACGGACACAAACGCCACAAGGAGAAAATGAGCTAGACACAGACACATATAGACAGCCACAAATAAAGAGGCGCAGGCGAGACACAAAGAGACGGACACAAACGACACAAGGAGAAAATGAGGTAGACACAGATACATATAGACAGCCACAAATAAAGAGACGCAGGCGGATAGACAGCCAGACACACAGAAAGGGGGGCATAGATACAGTGTCACCTGCAGTCACTCCCACACATGAAGACGGGCGTGCGCGCGCCCGCGCGAGAGAGAGAGAGAGAGAGAGAGAGAGAGATAAAAAGGCACAGGCAGATAGACAGGCAGACACAGAAAGAGGGACATAGATACAGTGCCACCTGCAGTCACTCCCACACATGAAGACGAGAGAGAGAGAGAGAGAGAGAGAGAGAGAGAGAGAGAGAGAGAGAGAGAGAGAGAGAGAGAGAGAGAGA